GAACAGCATTTATTTGAAATAGAAATCTTTTATATTGTTATAAATGTTAAACATTATAAAAGTGTCCTTGTTGAACAAAAGTATTCAAGTATTTTAAAAAAGTCTTACTAATGGTAGTGTAACATATTACTCAAGCCGAGTCATTTCAAATTGTCACTATGGTGCCTGAAGTATAAAGTATATCATATGTTAGTTAAGAGAATGTTGAATAAAGAAAATGTTAGAAACTCCTATTAGAGTTTAGTTGTTAAATCTGACTCTCTGGCTCTTTTGCTTAGTGTCGGGAGGCAGGAGCCGACTGCACCTCATCGATCTAGGCAGCTGTGTTAAGGTTTTGAGCAAGACCCGTGACAGCACTACAGGACTCTGCCTCTCTCTGTCTGCTCTGGGCAATGTCATCTTGGCTTTAGTCAATGGCAGCAAGCACATCCCTTACAAGTAAGACTTTTACCTTTCACTTGACTCATCATATGATTTCAGTCAAAAACTCATTGGGTTAGACTTTTCAGTCTCATACAAATATGTTGTAACCACAACATCAAGATTACGATTATACCGTTCTGGGTGAAGTCATTCACCAGTCGCTAAACTCATTAAAGATGCAACATGTTTAGTCAAGTCAAGTCAAGTCACCTTTATTTATATAGCGCTTTTAACAATACAGATTGTGTCAAAGCAACTGAACAGCATTAATTAGGAAAATAGTGTGTCAATAATGCAAAATGACAATAGTAAACACTCATTTTTCAGTTAAAGGCAGTTCATCATTGAATTCAGTGATGTCATCATCCAGCTCAGTTCAGTTTAAATAGTATCTTTGCAATCATTTGCAATCAAGTCAACGATATCGCTGGAAATGAAGTGTCCCCAACTAAGCAAGCCAGAGGCGACAGCGGCAAGGAACCAAAACTCCATCGGTGACAGAATGGAGAAAAAACCTTGGGAGAAACCAGGCTCAGTCGGGGGGCCAGTTCTCCTCTGACCAGACAAAACCAGCAGTTCAATTTCAGGCTAGCAAAGTCACATTGTGCAGAGGAATCATCTGGTTCCTGTGGTCTTGTCCCGGTGGCCGTCTGAGACAAGGTCTTTACTGGGGATCTGTATCTGGGGCTCATCTAGTTGTCCTGGTCTCCGCTGTCTTTCAGGGCTGTAGAGGTCCTTTCTAGGTGCTGATCCACCATCTGGTCTGAATATGTACTGGATCCGGGTGACTGCAGTGACCATCTGATCTGGATACAGACTGGATCTGGTGGCAGCGGTGACCTCGGAATAAGAGAGAAACAGACTAATATTAGCGTAGATGCCATTCTTCTAACGATGTAGCAAGTACATCGGGTGTTATGGGAAGTGTTCCCGGTTCCGGTTGACCTAATTAATGCAGCCTAAAAATCCTTTACCGGATTTGAATATTAGAAATGTGTTAGTGTGTTATGTGTAAGCCAGGTTGAAGAGATGGGTCTTTAATCTAGATTTAAACTGACAGAGTGTGTCTGCCTCCCGAACAATGTTAGGTAGGTTATTCCAGAGTTTGGGCGCTAAATAGGAAAAGGATCTGCCGCCCGCAGTTGATTTTGATATTCTAGGTATTATCAAATTGCCAGAGTTTTGAGAACGCAGCGGACGTGGAGGACTATAATGTAACAAGAGCTCGTTCAAATACTGAGGTGCTAAACCATTCAGGGTTTTATAAGTAATTAGCAAGATTTTAAAATCTATACGATGTTTAATAGGGAGCCAGTGCAGTGTTGACAGAACCGGGCTAATATGGTCATACTTCCTGGTTCTAGTAAGAACTCTAGCTGCTGCATTTTGGACCAGCTGGAGTTTGTTTATTAAGCGTGCAGAACAACCACCCAATAAAGCATTACAATAATCTAACCTTGAGGTCATAAACGCATGGATTAACATTTCTGCATTTGACATTGAGAGAATAGGTCGTATTTAGATATATTTTTGAGATGGAAAAATGCGGTTTTACAAATGCTAGAAACGTGGCTTTCTAACGAAAGATTGCTATCAAATAGCACACCTAGGTTCCTAACTGATGACGAAGAATTGACAAAGCAGCCATCGAGCTTAAATGTGGAGGTTTTAGGTCCGATAATTAACACCTTTTTTTTCAGAATTTAGCAGTAAGAAATTACTCATCATCCAGTTTTTTATATCAACTATGCATTCCGCTAGTTTTTCAAATTGGTATGTTTCGCCGGGCTGTGAAGAAATATAGAGCTGAGTATCATCAGCATAACAGTGAAAGCTAACACCGTGTTTCCTGATGATATCTCCCAAGGGTAACATGTAACGCGTGAAGAGTAATGGCCCTAGTACTGAGCCTTGAGGTACTCCATACTGCACTTGTGATCGATATGATACCTCTTCATTCATTGCTACGAATTGATGGCGGTCAGATAAGTACGATTTGAACCATACTAACCAATAGTAAGACTAAGATGGTCAAGATCAATATCACAAATTTTCCTAAAACAGATAACACGCTCTTTTACAGTCTGCAAGGACGGAGGAATCAAATTGAATGTGAGGAGCTTGTGGTCACTTATACAAACATCAGTACATTCAAGTTGTTCAAGGATTACTCCTGAAGTGCAAACCAGATCTAATGTGTGACCGTGTTTATGCGTTGGAAAGTTAACATGCTGAGTGAGATTAAAACATTCTAGAATGTCCATAAAGCTCACCGTATTAGTGCAATCCACATTATCAACATGAATGTTTAAATCACCAGTTAAAAGAACAACTGGACAGATTGCACTGGCAAGCATCAGAAATTCTGCGAAAAACACAGAGTTAAGTTTGGGAGGACGATAAATATTTAACACCAAAACTGGTGAGAGACCATTCAATTTAAATGCCAAGCATTCAAATGATGAAAAACAAGGCAATGAAACTTCAGTTAAAGCAACATCAGATCGATAAATGACAGCAAGACCACCCCCTCTACCAGTGGAACACGGCCGACCTATATAAGTGTAGCCAGGCAGAGCACACACATTTAGATTAAGACAGTCATTTGTCTGATGCCACGTTTCACAGAGGCAGAAAAAGTCCAGTTCTTTGTCCACAACAATGTCACAGATTGAAGCCGCTTTGTTGTTTATAGAGCGAGCTTTCAGATGTGCAAACCTGATTGTGTCAAGACGGACACCTCCACTGGATGCAGTAGACTTCTGAAGGTAGGAAAAGTTTGCAGGACAAACACATAGATGACGACGATCCAAGCGCCTCTGCGTCCAAACTGAGTTTATTCCGGCACTGCTTACTTGCAAATTCTGGCGGGAGCCTCGATGAACGTATTTTGGCCGGCGGAGGAGATGTAGCGAGCGCAGTGTATCCAGGACACATGTAGCAGGAGACGTAGAATGTTCATACTGAAAAAGTTCCGAAACAGAGTATTGTCGCATGATGAAGTCTGGGTGATCAAAGTAAATCTTGCCGTAAACTCCAAATAAAACCAGAATAAAAGCAAGTAAAATCCAGGAAGGCCGCATATTAGCAGCAGGTTATGCCAAAAGATGAATAGGAAAAAAATCCAAGCGTCAAGAGGCAGCAAAAGTCACCACTCGAGAGACATCAGCCGATCCAACATCAAAACAAAAAACATATTAAAACAAAAAACAATAAATTTTAACGCACTGATGGAGAAGCAGCAACCACATTGTGCCAGCGTCCTCTCACAACAGAAGTCAAAATGCTCAGAGCTAACTATGCTCATAACTATTAAATGTACTAAAAAAAAGCTAAAATGTATTACATCCTGTATGTCTGTATTTCTAACAGTGACTAAAGTGGAGGTCAAGGAAATGGTATGTCCAAGGTCTGTACAGCATTTCAAAATGTTTTCAATTATAACTCACCAATGTCAAGTTCAAATCCATGGTGGAGCTTTTCCATTATCAATGTGGAAAAGTGCCGTTTTACTCAATCCCCTAATGCAGCATCTCCTGTTTTTAATAGAGATTACATACAATTTAATAATCCTCAAATTATTAATGAAAACAAGCAGAGCTACATTGCACCAATAAATACATTAAGTTTTACAGTTAATGGACTTGTCCAATCAACATTTGGATGTTTATAAAAAGCTAACATTTCTCGTTCACGGTATTTTTCACAGCTGTGCAGATCTAGTGTAACAACTAGGTCTGGTTTGTCATCTGTATTCTTTAAGATCTGTCTACGATACATCGGGACAGCTGATTCAAGATCCGGTTCAATCTTCCTCTCTATGAAAACACAGATTAGTGATAACAATTCTTCAAAAAGATATGATTAACTGTGATATAATTAACATCCCTGATAGGTGTCCTGTTGTTTTATAGTATGATAAAAATTATTTGTATGCTAAAAAAGCTAATACAGAGAAAGGCATACTCAATTCGATAGAGACACCTTCAGCTGATGGGCTGGTGCTGGATGAGAAAAGAGTATTGAGTGATGCTGAGGCCCTTTCCTCCCTTTCAGCATTATCCTCTGACATGGTTGCAAAAAATAAATAAATAGAAAAAAAAACACCACACAAACAAAAAAAACCTTGCATCACAGGCAGTGTATTGTGATTTGTCAAAACATTACAATGAAACACGTTTACTGACAACATAAAAGAAACAAATTAACATGTGCTCAAAATTAGCAATTAATGTGTGTTTGGTTGTAAGCGCAGCCTTTATCACTGACTGGGGTGGCTCCCACTTGTAGCATGGTTCCAAGTTTGCCAACTTTATTGTCATCAAAGATGACTTAGTGTCCCCTTTGTTATGAATGGCCATTTTTGTGACCATTCATTTTTAAAAGAGCACCTATAGAAGGCAGCTCCACTCTGGTTTTTGGGCTTTGGGCCTGGTCTATCCTCTTTCCCTGAGGCCTCAACTACCTCCCTCATTTCTATTGTCTCAGGATTTTCTGTCAATGGACTTTCATGTTCCTCTTCTTGTGTCTTTTCCTGCTGCTGCTGATCTGCTTTCTCTGAATAACAGGACTTCTTGGGGGGCTGACTAGCTGCCCACATTGAGATTAGAGTCCTTTTCTGAGCACCACTTGTTTCTTTCCCTGACACTTTTGAAAACATCCTATAACAGAAACAGTTCACATTTATCTAATTAAATAGGTTGATTTGGAACTTGGACATGATTGACATTATTGATGAATTATACATGTTTTAATCAAAATGAATATAAATAAAATCATTTGAGTTGGTCTGTCCTTGATGTCCCTTGTCTGTTTCTTTAGAAAACAATAATTAACATTAACTAAATATAGGCATGCCCAGATATTTGTCTCGTAGTTAACGTCATGATGACTGGTTCAACGTTAACGTTACTGTGTTTTTATCACAGAAGTATGTAAAATTACTGCAATACTGCAAAACAAATAACTTTGATAATGCTAACTTATTTCTACATAGGGCATACAGCATATTAGTTACTAACCTAAACGACGGACACGCATAGTGTGTGACAAGGCTTAACATCTTTAAAAAAGATGAGAAAAATGGAAAAAAAAAATTGTAATCCATTTAACTATTCACAAATAATATTTTATTTAAAAATACACATACAATTAGGAGTTCATTTGTGCAAATGTTGTAAAAGCAAAACAACAAAATGTTCCTTGCCACATTCGGTTACGAATTACGTGAATCACGTAAATGATCAAAACGGTCGTCGAGTAGTTTGCATCACAGAATATTACTGTTGGTTATTTAACATTTCTATTGTAAAACAGCTGTGAAATAATAAATGTTTTCCTACTTGCCTCACACTCTTTCACTGTTAAAAAATGCCGTGGTGT